CAATTATTTGTTCGGTTACAATATAAGTTACAATATGTAATGTGGTGGTTAATAAATTAATAATAATAATAAATAATATATAATCAATAATAAATAATAAATAATAGTCAATAAATAATTATTGTAATTACAATAATAATTAATTAAATTGAATTAAATCTGTCCAGAAATATACTTTGGTATACAATATAATTTTTAAGCAAAAAGATTTTTAAAAAAAACTGAAAGAAATGAAAGCTTAACATTTAATAGTAAGAAGGAACCAAGAAATTGATATTGAGAAGTTTTTCATTAAAAACAGCTAAAAATTACTGTTGAAAGATAGTTAATTGAAAAACCTAGAAATTAATATGGCAGAATTGGTCGTTGTAAACGTTTAAAGACTAATGTTGTAAAATATATCGTTGAAAAGCCTAATCGTTGATATTGAAAAATCTAAATACTAATATTAGACAAAAGTTGTTAACTACTACATAAGTACATAGTGAACATGTTACGCAACCGTGAATCATTTCATGCATGAAAACGCTCGAGAGCAGTAAGAGTGAACGTTTCTCAATAAAGTCAGCCCTTAGATGCTCGTTCCAGGGTTCTTTCTCCCCCCGATCTGAACCGATTACTTCATTACGCTAACGAGAATAGCTCGAACGTGGAAGGATATTCGGAAATCTCAAGGGTTGCGCGTTTGAATAATTAGCAAGCGATTCTCGGTAAAGAGATTTAATTATTTACCTAGTCTTCGATGCGTTAAACGTTTCGAGCGTACGTTTAATTTGGTTTGAGATTACAAATTCTCGATGTATCTTCAACATCGAATCAACGCACGTATTAACTCACATTATAAAACTTTGTCCGTAATGAATAATAAAATGCAATTTGCAATGTGCTGATCGCATGAACTTTTATATTTCAGTTTGGTCGTTATTAGTTTTCAAACTCCGCTATTTAGCTGGCAAATTATTAATTAAAAATATGCAAGATTCTTGTGCGGTTGCAGTCTAACCGAAGTGCATTCTTTTTTTGGAACAAAAACTTATGTACAGGTATGTTTATTAAATTTTATGCGAGCTAGGAATGTGAAGGATTTAATTAAAGTTAATATGAATTTCTTACTTTAATATTGACAAATGTTATGTCGTCATAAATAACTTTCATTTCTCGTTTTTGGGCGGTTTCTGTCAAAGGAATTTTTGAATATCCTTCATTTCATTTATATTTTTCGTTATTAAATTTAACATTAAGTTTCATGTTCAATATTAAACAAGAATTTTTACTATTAACATTCTGTAGTTATTATTCATTGTATTTTTGTCGTCCATAGTCGAGGTTAGTATGAATTATACCAATTTTAGTTTAATTAATTTTTTCAATGTACAAAGTCAAAGAAAATTTTCATAATATTGAACTAAGATTGATAAATGTACAAACTGTTTCGAACCATCATAGTGTGATTCTATACCAGGTTTGTCCAACTCGCGGCGCAACGAAAAGTCATAAGCTTACAAACTATGACATTGCAACTAAAACATCCATTAACAATATTACAAATAGAAGTTAAACGTGCTATTAATTTATGTACGGCCCATAACCTGTCTTCTTCCAATGAGGAAGCTAAAAGCTTGAACATCTTTGTCTCACACCTTTCATTTGATGAAAAATTATCTAAGAAAGTGCTAGCAAAATTCATCCTGACCTTGAAAAAAGGGTTGAAATTGTCTATTGCTGCATCGTGTTCTATTTATTGCGGAGGTAAATAATCTGAAAGAAACCATTGGTCGGAAATAAATAGTTTGGTTGGAAATTGAAGTTGAAGTTCCCATGGGTGAGTAAAGGATCGCAATATTCAGTGTCCTTTTCTATTATACGATATGCCACCTGGCTTAACACCATAGGACTTCGCCCTGTTTCAAATCGCATCACATTTCGTCATTTTGCACCATAACAGGTCGCAGTCATGGCACTCGCGGCATCAATTAATCGACGTTCGTGTAACAGAGAAAGACACTGCCTATTGTGATCCTTTATTCTTCCATAGGAATTTCAACAGCAATTTCCAAGCAAACTATTCATTTCCGACCTATGGTTTCCATCAGATTATTTGTCTTCGCAATGAGTAGAACACGATACAGCAATAGACAATTTCAATCTTTTTTCAAGGTCAGGATGAATTTTGCTAGCTCTTTTTCACATTCATTTCTATCAAATGACGAGTGTAGAATTACGCTATTGTGGTCGTGACATATATTTTTGGAATATCCTGTATAGTGTTTCTTTTGTTTTATACATACTTCTGTTGATCGTTTAATTTAAGGAACAAATAAACTGGCGAGATAATCAGAAAATTTTTATGATAATAAAAATGTATATGATCATGTATATGAGACTTTTTGAATAAAAAATAGTCCTTTTAAATATACCTGATTATCATTGCATGTCTAATAAACAACAAAGTTTTAGCTTGCATACATTTTAAATATTGAAGACTGAAAATATATCAATGAATTACTGTCATATAATTTTTGAAGATAATACCTTTCCCATCTCTTTTATTGTCATTGTCAACGAAGAATATGTATGTACATATATACTTTTTAACGAACGAAAAATATAAATAAAAGAGATAAAAAAGCTTTATAATTATGTTTAATGAAATGGAAACATGTGATTAAACTCATTTTTCGTCTATATAATTAATTGTACACTTGCACAGTCAACTCTTATGCGCTATTTGAAAAATTGTTGCATTAATATTTTGCGATTTAAAATTACATCGAATTGAAATTGATTTAGAAAAAAGTTAGTCAACCCTTTACCTCGTTTTACAATTTCCTTCGCAGTATACTCGCTACCTATTTTATCATTAATAGTTCGGTACGCGGAAAAGGAAGTCTGCTTTCTTCGGATGGCTACTATTTGCTCTGAATATTAAATATTGATGACGGAGAAATGGTATTGCACTTTAACTGTTAGAAAATGAATAATAGTCGTGTTCCTAGTATTGATCTCGGAAACATTAGCACATGGCTGACACGATATTATAAAACAAGGGGTTAAACAGGCATATTGAGGTATTTGTTTCTACGAATTGTGGTTGATGTCGTGTTAGTCGGACATTCGTATAGTTTTTTGTTATGGATACAAGTATCTTTAATGTAACGTCTCTGCTGTTACTCAGATAATTGGCACCATCATCATGTTACGACCTTGTAAGATAGATGAAAGTTAATTAGTTCGCATAAATTACTCTTAAATTGAAAATTCAATTCAATTCGTTGTGTATCTGAATTAATAGGAAGAGAAGGGTGTCTAAATGAAGGAATTTTCAAGTAAAACGATTGCTTTTATGAAATTAAACTTCGTTTATTTAAGTAGGGATTGTACAGAATGGAACTTTTTGTGTATTATTATAATATCCATGTTATAAATATTCTATATAAATGAAATATATATCACATTGAATATAACTTTGTAAAAAGGTTTACTTTGTAACATACCAATTGATTTAAATAAAATTCCGTAACATTGTAATGGATTGAGTAATTCACCGTTACCAAATTACTTAGTAAACATAACAAACCAGGCCAAATAATTAATTTTTCTGTTAGTGTCTCGGTAAATAAATTTGTTTGACACACCTGAAACTATTTATTCAATTAACTAATGTTTCCAATTTCTATTTAAATTCATTATTTTATACGATATTCTAATTGTGAGTGTTAGTTCAAAACACGTACAAAATTCATTGAAAAAAACCGTTTTATTTGCCGATTATAACCATCTCCTTTATAAGTTTCCTTTTGCTCGAATACTTTTGTTTGTCATTGTTTTCCGTTCTCAACGTTAAACGCAGTGACGTTGAAATAAAATTTTGGTTATTTTGTATGTTCCAGGCTTCAATGGATTTGCCGCCGGATAAGGCAAAACTGTTGAAACAGTACGACAACGAAAAGAAGTGGGACATCATATGTGATCAAGTAAGTACGCCGAGTATATCCGAACGTCAATTACTCTTTAATTTATACGCTATTCGCGACTGTTAAATACGTTGAATGTAATCGATAAGGATAATAAACTTACCAATGAGTAACCACCCAGTTTATACATCCTTTAGATATCGAAATTACAGCACGTGATGCAGTGGTGAACCAGTAAGAATTTGCACCGACAAAATAATGAGATATTATCATAATCTTTTGATTAACTATCTACTCGTGCATATGCTTAGGAGAAGGTTAATGGATGAAACAAAGCATTGGTAATTATATAAATTAGATCGCTATATAGACATTATATCGTCTATATATAGTACTGCCGCACAATCTTAGCTCTTCGGGTACATTTTATTTTATTCAACATGGTTTTCATTAGATAAATTGAACAAAAATTACAGAAATTAAACACAAAAATATTTTCAACATTATGTATCAAATGTTATGCACTTTTCGGGTTTAAGATAAATTTTAGTTAAATTAAGATTTTTTTAGATTCAGTAATAAATAATATAATAACTACGATTTATAATTGTGAAAGGGTATAGGAGGATAAAGGAGCCAATCGTGCTCTTAAACCGATTTTTCTGATGAAAGTTTCTTTCGGTAGTTTACCCTTAGAAAACGTTGTACACCAATTTTCAGCCCTGTATCTCAACCAGAAGGGTAATTATAGGGTAAATTCGTTTTTATCCTGTTTCCTTATTTAATGGCACGTAAGAACTGTGCAAAAATTCGAAGCCACTTCTGGCATAGCAATGTATGGCTAAGAATTTTTGGACATCTTTCCGTTTCAAATCCTGGAAACCTCGAAAAAAGTAGAAAAATGTAGATGTTGCATTGAAGTTTTCGAGCGATAAGTTTTGAATTTTTGCGGTAGTGGACATATTAGTATAACAGTCAGTCTTAATTTTTTTTAGATTTTTTGGCATATTGCGGCATACTTAAAAAAATGAAAAACTAACTTTCGACGCATTTCAGGCAGAACCGAAATTAATACCTTCAACCTGTGTAGTGTGTTTTGTATAGTGTTTATATTACATGCCCTTTAATAGTTTACAATTGTAAAAAATAATGTGCAAATAAAAAAAGTAATCGACATAAAAGGAAGTTAATCGAAAACGAATATATGTCAACTACCAAAATTTCGTTACTGATTTTACGGATGTGTTTGGAGAACGGATGGAAGATTTTTTGTCGTAGGTTCACGCCCAAGGGCAATGGCTTGTCGCGTTTGGATGGTCAAATATATTAAATGTTAATAATTACATTTGTGGCCTGTCTTTTGAATTGTAATACTTCAATTATTTTCTTGGTAATTGTTTCAAAATTTTAGGATATAAAGTTTCTGGTGAAAAAATAATACACTCTCGTTAATTTATTTAATGCTTATTGAATAATACATATTAAATTTTGTTTGCATTCTTTTCATACTGTCTTTGCGAATATGTACAAGACAAATAGACGTCAATTTTATTACGTCTAATTCTATTCAATGAGTTATAAATATTGTAGAAATGCTAAGAGATAAATAATTTTAACGAACTTACAAAATACGATTAATTGTATTCCGTGTATAATACTGTATGAAATGTCTTGATTGATTGAAAATTCGTATTTCGTTAACCGTCTACTGTTATAAATAAAATAGCTTCAGCCTATTGAAATGTTACAAATAAATTTATTTTTAGATAATTACTATTAATACATAAACTACTATTCTTATCGTATTTTTCATTTTACTTTTGAACCTTTTTTCAAGCGAAATACGACATTCGAACTATTGTAGAATAAAAGTTTTCGTATAATCCAATCTTTCTCCTATTTACATACCGACAACGATCTTATTTAAAAAATACAAACAGCAATGGTTAACATAATATCAGGTCGTATCGCCATATAATAAAAACATAACACACCAGCAAACCAAATTAAAACTGAACATGGACTCGCATTGAACAAATTCATAAATCAAATTTCTAACATAGTTATTACTTAAATTACTTGCATTTTTTTATTTCGCCTGCGAATGTTGTTAGCTCAGTTCTTTATTTCGCCTTTTCTATAGTCTCACTCTCGCATTAGTACCATACATTTTAAATGTAACTTTGACGGCAGAAGTAACATTACTTCGTTGTAAATTTTCTTTTGTCACATGATATTCAGTAAACTACAGATTTTAAGTATTCTTGAAGCAAATCGTAACTGTTTGAATAAAAATTCGATCTATCTAAACCAAAATAATAATTATACAAGAATTATTCTGAATTTGAAGACATTGTGAATAAAGATGGTACGTTTAGTTAAATAAGATGGTGTTCGTGAATGTTCTTCGCAAAATTAATGCAATGTTGCCATTGCTATGAATTATGAGAATGACGTAATCGTCCTTTAACTTGACGAACGTATTGTTAATCGGCGTATTCTGACAATGAGATCTTCGCCCGCCTTGTATCCATTTAATCCCGCACCGACCAATGAATGCGGGTCCACGACCCCTATTTCATACCCGGTGTCTGAATATAACTGTCCCTTTAACTTAAACCTAAGTTATTAATTTTAAACAATTAATTGAGAGAGGTTTATACGTATAATTAATATATTAAGATTAATAACTAATTGAGGGAACAGTTTACCACTTTTCCATTCGATCTATGGAACTTATAAAAAGCTGATTTCGATTGTTTAAGTGAAATATTTCTTTCTTTAATATTAGGTAACTGAGAAAGTACTATTATGTAGACATTGTAATCATTTCTATCGAACAAAAAGTATCCATTCGACGTTTTGTTTTGTTACGACAAAAGACGCACGCGTACAAGTATTTTTTCTGTACTACGAATTTCGTTTTAAATAGTTCTGTTGTTTTTTTAATATACCATAAATCCAAGATAAAATTGCCTCAGGAGTAATCTTTCCTATTTCCATATATTTTTTCTAAAGACAGAGGCACTTTTTATTGCATTTTTTATTGTTGGATTGCAGATTTGCACACATTTATATGAGATACAAGTAAGAGAGGTTCAATAAAAGACCAAATATAATTAAATTAAATATAGTGCTTAGCACAATTTTAATTTATTAAAATCATTAACAGAACAATTAAACGTCTGTTTAAATTCCTGTATTTATGAATTACAGTCAGAGTGCTTTATTTTGCATAAGAATTCGCGGTACAACCCTTTATATATAGAGACGAATATCATCGACATGACATATTTAGTAATTTGTCTGCTCCGACTATGTTTGTGGAGGTATGCTTAAGTGAGTTTAATCTCGAGTTTAATCGAGGTCGAGCGAAAGTGTTATCGAAGGAGATACCTCTTCTGATCCACGAAGGGCGTGGATTATGGAGGATGCATTAACGCGTGTCATAAAACTACGTCACTTGTTGCAGGTTTTCCTTCGGTGGACAAAAAAGTTATTTATTACAATAAATTTGATTTTACATTGATGGACCATTCGAATTCAATATATCTGCCATTGAACATAAAGTTAATCGTTACCACCTCTGAAACCTGCTATTAAATGCTTGGTAATACTTCGAATAATAAAACTGGTACAATTATAGATTTTTAAATTCTTGTGTCTATGATGAAATTTGTTTGATTCTTTCGATAGATATTAAAGAGGGAGTCGTAAAACGGTAGGTAACGTGTGCAAGTGTTTGAGTTTTAATTTCTCCAGAAAGTTTTCACTTCTTGTTATTTTATTCTGTTCTATTCTATTCTATTCCGTTCCGTATTATCCTATTTTGCTCTACATAGAAATAAAAGTCAGTCACTGGAAAAATGCATTTTTGGAGATTTCAAGTAACTTACATTTTATCGTACGCATGATTAAATCAATTTTTTAAATAAATTCCCGGGGAAACATTTTTTATACCTTTCCAATAATCGTGAAAAAAGAAGTGAAAATTTTTTGTAAAATGAGTAAGATTAATATAGAGTAAGATAATTTCTCGTGTAGTTTTATAAGTTGGTACACACGAAAACAAATACAAAATATACAAAATTTGTATAGAATTCTTGTATTTGAAGGATACACGTAGTCATTTCCATTTGTTATTGCCTAATTACCTATAATGAGCTAATTAATGGTAATGATATTATAAAGGAAAGTATATCACTGCCAATACGTTTAAAAGGAACGTAATTTGTTTTGTAACTTGAGACGTTAGCTTCCTTCATTCGTGTAAGATCGTTTTTTAAGCCTTTTCGTTGTGTTTTTTAATGAAAGAACGGAACAATTTTGCCTGCACTTCAGTTGCTTTTGTATCCCGGAACAGTGAAAGGGAAAAAGGTATAAAGGATTTCCCGAAAAAGTTCATGAAAGGTTTCTGCGGTTTAGGTGGACCATTCGGCTCGTTAAACCGACGAGAGTTAAACAGCTAGGGTGGAATTCGTCTCGAGTGGAAATTACTCTTTTTTCCCTCGTAAGCTTCGCCGGTACCGTAGAAAGTATAAAATGGATTTAACGAGTCGTCTGGATCGAAGGGAACAAGATCCGTGGAGATTAAACAACCTAGCTTTCTAGATTATCTCGGACGTTTGAAGCGCCGAAATAATAAACCTTCGGAGATGCACGATAAAAAAAATTGATAAACAGCAGATGAAAATTTCAACTTACGGTTTAATTTTTTTTTTGCGTTAAATCTTGCAAGTGTATGATATGCAAGTACAACGTGATAAATAGATAGATATACATTATTGTTTATAAACGTGTAATCCCTTTTTCTTGGTGCGACATACATAAAAATTTAAAATAAAACTCATATATTGTATAACGCTATGAAGTAATGAATTTGCCACCTCAGTTACTATAAACTAAAAATAAGTAACAAATGTAGAACAAAACTTAATCCAACGGAAAAATGTAATTGTAAAATTATTTAAAAAATACCTGGATCTAGATTCAAGAAGATCCATAAAGGAACTTGTTGGTACCTAGATTACCTCGAACCGTAAACTCCATAATTGCTGTAC